AGTGAATTCCACTATGTCATTTTTCTGTAAACTACCTTAAAATACTCCTAAGTTCTGGCTGCAAAATGTTGCACAGAAACTGAACATTTTTTCCCATTATATTATGTATGTTCTGCTTGGAACAGCAAGCAGATTTATTAGCAATCTTCTTTTATCTTTTTTCAGCTGCAGTGCTGGTTGCCATGATGGCAGTGCCTTTGTCTCTATGTTCTGTCCTCAAAAAAAGGCACAACAATCTCTGTGATTTAAGGTGATTAAATGAGGGCTGTCCTTTGTCAGAATATGCACCTGAAGCAAGTTTGAATTAATTCAAAAGACCTGTATGGATTTTATTTTTTTGCGTACTTTTTAAAAATGTACTTTAGATGTAATTGTGTAAAACTGCATTGTATTGAACAGTAAAATAAGCACATGTAAAACATATTTAAGACATGATTAAGTACTATATTACTACTGCAAGCCAACATCATCTGTTACATTCATATAGGGTTTTCTTGTGTATGAATACACACTATCTCCCACTTCAGCTCAGAGAATTCAGCATTTCTACAGGTTGGGCCAAGGGATCCAATACAAGTTGGGCAAGAGCAAACAAGGAGGAACCATTACTAAACATTTGAAAATGTTAATTTTGCCTAACACTCACAGCAGCTCTGGGGTGAGACAAAGATAAAATTCAATTTGTTGGTAACAACTCAACTACTTCAAATATATGGTCGAACTTCCTTTTTTCCCCGTTTCTGAAATCATCACTTCAGTTCTCATGCCTTGCAAACCCTGAAGACAGACTTTCTCTTAATTCTCAACCCAAATTAATCCCTTTTAGTGACCCCCAACAGCTAAATCAGAGAAGGCAGGGGTCCTATGAAAGAAAATTAAAAAATCATAGCATGAAGTGATTAAAGGCTGTAAAGCCACACATAGCCAAAAAAGCACTTAAAGCACTGCATGACACCTCAACTTCAGTATTTCCTAAATTTTGAGAGGTTAACATTAGGACTTTGGGTTCATTGTTTAATTTTTAACACACTTGTGTGAAACGAGATGTGTGAGGAAATGCTTCCCACGTTTGGAGAAAAGTCAGTGAAAAACAAAAAATTCCATAAACCATAATGAGATTGTCACCTGCACAACCCAGGAGTAGATCAGACACTTCTGCACTCCTCACAGGCCTTCTTGATCACCAACCTTTTTTTTTGATTAGAAAAAAATCCACGGACCACAGAAACTTGTGCACTTTTTTCTTTTCATCTGACCAAATTTAAAGGTTTGAAATACATTTTATATATTAAAAATATTTTAAACTTTAAATATTGTTTCAAACATTACAGTGTCCAAATACATTTGCATATTCGCTGTGTGAAAGTAAAATATACCCAAAGAAATGCTTCTACCTGGCTAATAAGCAAAATCATCCATGATTTATTTTGAACACAAAATGTTTACAAAAATATATTACTTGCCAGAGTTGGTGTTTTGTGCATTTGCAGTTCCAGAAAATATTTCCTGAGGGGTTTAGATGAGAATTCCATGCTGACATATATACTGACAATTTATTTCCACTGAAAAAATGAAGTATAGTAAAGAAATGAAATAAAAAGAAACTAAGCAGAAGTCTAGAGATGAGGCAGCTGATCCTGCAGCACTCAAATAATGGCCTGGAACAGACACTCTGCAGTGTTTTGCAAAACAGATTATATACAAAGATGAGCAGACAGAAACTTAACTAGCATGGTCAATGTAACCACCATGATATGCTTAAATTCCTCACTGCCTTGGTCCTTGCAAAAGTTCAGAATTGGAGGAGGAATTTCAAACAGTGCTTTTTCATTGGAAGGCAATAGAAAGAAGCCCACATCTAATAATAAATAAAGAGATCTCGCAATAAGATTTTATTTAACATAAATGAAAAAATGGTCAGGCCACATTTATTCCTACTAAATATTACCATGTCATGATATTGAATTATTTGGTTTATGTTCTATTTATCTTTCTTAAATTCAACTAGAACAAGTTGAAACAAGTGTCTATATTAAGCCTAAATGCCACTAATAAAAACTACCAGGAAAATCATGATTTATAGTGCTGTTTGGCAATCCTGAAAGTGCACTGTAATCCTTTTGCAGGGTGAATGGACAGTGTTACAGAAATGGAGACCTTATAAGTTTATTTCAGCTTTCATGTGATGTAACAAAACCTACAGTGTTTTTGACATGAGAGAGCTTGTCAGACCTTAGTAGTGAGCATCACCCATTCCAGAGAAGTGACAGCAAGTATTACCAGCAGAGAAGCTGTTGCCCTCATGCCCTACAGCAAAGTCACTGTCTGTCTATTATTTGACAGGCAGGGTAATATGGGAATATGCTACACTGGTGGAAAAACTGACACAATTGCTGGAGAGTCCTGCAACCAGGATGAGCAAAATGGAAGCAGCATGTCCAATGTTTGTGCTAGATAACAATTTAAATCATATGTTTATTACTGCTAAATTACATGCCTTGTACTGCTGACACCTGCAAGTGCTTGGCAAAATCTGAAAATAAAATAGCATTATTCACTGTCAGCAGAATGCAACTTTTCCTGAACATCTAAAATTGAATTTCATAATTAGAAGTAAAAACTAACAGCCATTACATGCTCAGCACTATGACCTCTCTTGTCCTTGAAACAGTGTCATTTACCTACCAATTATTTTCAAGGTCCTGTTGTGCTAATGAACATATATTGTTAGGGAATTTTAAAACATATTATAAGTGATTTAAACTGGACCAAAACAGATGAACGAAGTCAAAAGAATAAGAACTAAGCAACAGTCTCCTTGGCCAAAGCAGAAAATTCAATCCCATTTTGCTGCAATAATCCATACTAGTAACTTCCCTGTGACACATCAAAAATTGGATGCAGTGAGTGACTGAGAGACTGAAATAATCAGTAGCTCAGGCTTGCAATTCATCCACAGGTCAGGCAGAGTGCAGCAAATGACCCAACTTTCTCTTCTTGTTCACTTCTGAGCTCCAAGCACAGATTTGAGAGACCTCCCTCTCTGAGGAAGGGTAGAAAAAGCCGTATCATATAGTATCCTCCTGGCTGTGAAAAATCACAGATATATATAATACACAATCCTAAAGCCATGTAGAACAAAGAATTTGAAATTTATGAAATACAAGACAAAGTCCTAATCCTTTAAAAAACAGGTTCACATTATGGCTAAAAGGAGTTTAAATTGATACCATATTTTTTTATTTTATTACACTGCATGGTGTAAAACAAAAAAAAAACTGCCAAAAAAGGCTTTGGGGAACATACAGGGCAATACAGCTTTATCAGAGAAATTTCTCTGCACAGCTTTCTGGAAAAGCTATGTGAAAATGACTAAACAAAACCACAAGGAGTCCCCATAAGACAATTTTTTCAGTATCTTTCGTATTCATTACATACTCAAATGCAATTCTAATTGCCTGTACTTGAAAGTGCAAGAGACTTGATTTAAATTTACTCACTAAAAATCTTTATGAATGAAAATCAGACACAAAAACATTTTTAAAATTCGTAATAATCACCAAGACAACACAAAATGTATAATCCTTCTGAAAATTTTTGTTTACTCTTTAAAACATTTCTTTTTTCAACAGACCTTAAAACTAATACATACATACCCTGGAAGAAATGAAGTCATAATCAATTTACCTCATAAAATAACTAAAAAATTGTATCTGATACACAGTGTACTAATCACCAGAAAAACACAACTAGAAATTACAAACCCTTGGATTTTTCTGTTTACTTGGAAGTCAAGAATACAAGAGACACGAGACTTTAACTCATGTTATCAGGACCCCATTTTAGTTTAAGCAGGTGACAGAAATTCAATAACAGTTCTAATTCACTCTTGGAATGTTTATTGCATGTAAGTGGTATTCAAGAATGACTGCTTGATGTCCAAACCGTAGTGGACAGCTAATTTCCTGTGTCTGTCTCCGTACCTCCTTACAAAAGAACAATTTGATTAATCCCCCAGGGGGAAACTGAATAACATATTTTTGCAATTGTAAAGGAACACTAGTAAGCCAAAAAATGATACCACTCCCTGAATGTTCTGTATGTGCCAATCTTAAAAGTAAATGCATGACAGAGTTTAAGCATCCAAGGATGCTGACAAGTAACTTATGAGAACATCTCATCACAGCTGTGTCCCTGTGTATACTGAGGCACTTACTAGGTAAAATAATCTGAGAAATATAAAGGAAGAGGCAGTAACCTGAAAAATCTTGCAGACTTTTAGAATACTCTTTTATTTTTACATGGAGGTATCAGATGCATTTATAAATCCACTTATGAAATCAACTGAAAAGCATCTCTTCAGAGATTATGGAGATGATAGAAAAGAATGCCAGTGCTAAAGAAGCTTCTGTGCAGCCAAAAAATCAAAATCTTTATTTTTTGAAGTCAGTACTATGAAAGAATAGTATTACTTTCAGTATTATTAAAGAGATAATCCATGTCAAAAATGTAGTTCCAGTTTTACAATGTTATAATTGAACAAGGCATGCCAATCAATATAAGGTATTGATAACCTTCATATGAATTTTCAGGGAAAGAAAAAGGTTTATCAATTCAAATCACTTTCCTTTGTTTAGAGGATACATGCATTTTCTTTGTCCTTAGAGGTCTGTATTCTGTAGTACTCCTAAAATACTTATTCTTGTATTATATAATATTACCAATGCTGATACAGCATCACACCTTTCTCACAGAGAGCACAATGTCAAAAAACAAGCAGTTAACCAGGATAGTAAAATTTTTTTTACTGATTAAGAATATTTCCATTTTGCATACACTCTGGATTTTTAATACCTATTTAAAGAGAACCTGAAATCTTTATTTTATGACCTTCTACCAGAGCAAACGTACGCACAGCATTTCATAAAAATTCAGACACTTTTAAAAGTAAAACTTTTAAAACCAGAATACTTCAACTATTTTTGGGTTCATGAACTTACTTTGGAGGATGTAGAGTCACATTCCTGACAAATCCATCCATAGCCAGTCTGTTTAGGAGACTTTTTCAAGGGAGGGTCTAGACAGCCAAAATGGTAGCAAAGCCTGCATTCATCACATCTGCAAGAGAAAAACAAAATATGTATTTATATTAAATGGTACTTCTGTACTATTTCAGATTGAGCTTCCCTGCAATTCTCAGCAGAAAATATCCTGATCCATTATCATAATAAAGAAAATCAGTTTTCTATAAGGGGTAATTTTAAACAGCCACTTCAAGTAGGTTCTGCTTAATCTGGAATATACTGATGCAGACACTCATATATCACCTTTGTTATCATCTTATATAAATGACAACATTTCAAAGACTTGCAAATTAATGAATAAAGTGCTTAAATTTTTAGATGCTTCAGTGTCATTCACTGCCCTTTTTTTCCCACAAATTTTAACCTTTTTAGACAGTGATAATATTTATTTTTCGTAGTTTTAAGACATTGTTTTGCACACGTAGTTTTTTAAGGAAAGATTTGTGAAAAATTCACCTACATATTAAATAACTCAAGTATAATTTACAGCTATGAATTATATTTTTTACACCAGAACTACGTGGTTGATAAACAAATGTACAAAATATTTTCTCATTCATGCTGAATTTTCTGTAAAGGGCATTAATTTAAAAGGATTTCACTGGGATCTTTCACTTATAAGAGTGCTCTGTGTACACACAACAAACTTATGTTCTTTAACAAACCTTTCATTAATGTTCTGTACTATACATGGTCCACAGAAAAAGCTCAAAACATACAGCATAGCTATTGTTAACCTACTTTTAATGTACCACAAATAGACAAAATGCTACAGTAGAACAAGTGTTTAATGAAGGGATTTTTAAATTAGAACAATCATAGGTTCAAAATGAGAGATTTTTTCAAGGTAAATAATAGAGATTTTCATATACCCTACTGAACTTCTCTTAATTTGCATATCCCCCTGTATTCCTTTGTATGAAAAGGAAAGCTTTTTCCTTTGCAAATTTACTTTGCAACAGTCTCTTCATTAAACAGTCTTAAACACTGAATTAAAGCCAATGTAAATTATTGAAAAAATAGGAAAAAGTAAATGTTTAAAAATCAAAATCCTTAAAGAAATTCCCCACACTCTCTTTATCTGCTTTCCTGGCCACTCATTTTTTCCTCTACAGTATGTACAAACACAAAAATGCCCAAAAATTGCAGTGATAGCATGGCACAGGCATCACCAGATCACCGACAGAGGGATATAATTTATCAATGAACAGACAGTGCATCACAGGGGATTCAACTAATGGAACATACTGCTGCATTAATAGAACATAATGCTGACTTTTCCAAAAATTAGTCTGCAAACAAACAGAAGTAACTGTTTTAGATTATGATTTTTAACCTAAGTAAATACTTTAGTCCTTGCTGCCAAGGCTGTGTTTGCCAGGAGTCCCAGGTAACACATGAGCACTGGTCAGGGTACAGTATGTACTCTTTTTCCACTAAATAGAAATTAAAAGCAATAATCTGACTATTCACAGGATTCAACACTCAACTGACATGGTTTTGATACTTTTTTGAATATGAGATATACCATATTGCAATATATTTCCTTAGGATTGCTTAGCAGTGAGTCAATCTAACTCTTGTGACTAAATCTAACTCCAGGACTCTAACTTAAGCAAACACTTAAAACAGAAAATCATTCTCAGTTTTTAAGGACAGAAGAGTTCTAATGTTGAAATATATTACTTAAAATCAGGAATACATCCAGTTTTATTTCCTGTGAAAGGTGTATTAAAATAATAAAAAGTTTGAGAATGGGAGATGGGATAGGTCACACTCCTAAATCCCTACAGTGTATGTGACCTTCAGCAAAATATTAAGCCTCCTCTGATCCTCAATGTTCTCATCTGTAAAGGAGCATATTTTTACTAACCTATTTCTATATCTGGAATCTTATGCATGCCAGGGGTTGCACTTGAGCAGTGCTTATCAGAACTCCATTCATGTAAACTTAAGGATCCTCTTAAGTAACTGAAAATAAAGAAACATACTATTTCTGACTGATTTAGAGTACTTTCAGAGTTTAATCCCAAACTCTGTATGTGATTTAAACAGTGTCAATTTAGATTATTCATTTTTTATGAAGGTATTGCTCTATATGTTTCTATGTTCAAAAGAAAATTATTCCTCTTTAAAATTACACTTTGGCATCTCTTACATTTTTACCATTTTGTGTCTAGAATGTGGTACTTCCTGACTGCACTTTCAGCCATGTTTCATCAGAATACGCTGAGGGAATTCGCAAAGCCGGGTTGAAATAACCATGACATTGTGAAATTAAATATGGATCTTGAGGCACCGTTCTAAAGCGCAATGTTTTTAATATTTATTGTCATTAATTTTTATCACTTCAGACTGTTTAGTTTGGTAGAATAAAAATTGTATTTTCTTAGAATGAGTTAAAAATATCTATATGAAAGTTTTCAGATACTAATAGCTTCTGTCCTCATCTGCACAGCTGAGGAAATGCAAATAAGTATTTTTATATATCAAAACATAAAAAGCTGCATGGTGATAAAAGTGTAGCTATACCAAGTATTTTTAAATGCTTGCTTCCTACTGCTTTTTACTGGAATATGAATTCTGTACTGGAAAACAGAAATTCACTGATTCTTAAGTTCCCAGAGCATGATGCTGGGAAAATGGATGGATACACACTGCACCTTGGTTAAAGATGCTCTAGCTGTCTGCCAAACATCATTTGCTGAATGACTGGGGACAAAACGTGAAGCTTCCACACATTACAGTGAAAAAAAAAAATTGGCATTCTTAATTCCTAATTCCAAAAGCAAACATTGCACCCAAGTTAAAATGGCACTAATAAAACAAGATTAATCCCTCAAGTGTATATTATTAGCTGTGTTCTTTTGTCCAGCAACATAAAAATGACAGAAATCCCACCGTCATATTCAGAAAATAAAATTCAGTGACACAAAATACAGAGTATTTTTGACTTAGTTACAGAGAATGAAATTATTGGGTCACAAAAGATGTCATGCCTTGCTGACAGTCTCGCAGACTGTCAGTAAATGCACTCACAGATCCATCACATCCTGGACATTTACAGAGGAAAGGAGTCACGTGGCACCATCATTTACAAATATCATCCACTTCCATCCTGAAGATGGCTTAATAGGATAAACAAAACTGTTGAGATGGAGAAGAAAGGGAAAGAAGCCACTTCCTCCATATTCAGGTTGTTGAAATTTTTACCCTTGTGCATTCAAGGTCACATGTTCAAACTTAAAGTAGCTGGTATTTTATCCTGCTGCTATTTGTGTATAACTGTTTTTATGGTGAAGCACATGATGTACAAATGTAATTAAGGGGTGGGCCATCTTCAGCAGCCTGGTTAGGTGCTGTACTGAAACCTTTGTGGAAATAAAAGCTGAGCTCCACACAAAGACAAGTTAACCTAACCTCCTAAATTACCTCTAACTGACAGGTAATTGCTTACTATCACCATTATAACAAGTCTGAAATTACTTTATGCATCAAAATTAAAAATCACTCTGCTCCTCATTTCAGCAATTAATGAGAATAGATATATGCCCACTAAATACAGAGAAAATGGAGTGTGAAGAAGAAAGGTGAATTCTGAAGTAGTTACGATTAAAAGTTAAAAAAACCCCAAACAAACATTTTTTTACTTATAGCAGAATGCATGTCAGCTACATCTTCACCGCAAGAAAGCTTGATTAGGCATTTCCATACCTGAAATATGTTTGCTTTGTTCTTTAACAGAGTGATCTCCATCTGCTCTTGCCCTTGGATTGTTTTTATTAGTTTTTTCAGTAGTACAGCTAGCAGTGCTAAAGCCCTATCGTGTTCATAATTAACCAATTACGCTCTAATCAATAGTGCAGATACTGATTTTACAATGTAAATGAGATAAATGAGATAATGGCTGGGGTCAATCTCATTTTATTTACAAAGCTCAGCACACACATCCAATTTCATTACATTGCATCTACCTGCACAGGAGGGAGTCTTATCAGTTGGCCTGCAGAAGTCTTCCTGCAAGCACTGGGGAAAAAGACCTGTGCTTTTACAGAGGAGCGGTGAATGCAAAACCCACCCGCCACTGGCACGTCTGTAAGTCACTGGTTAATATCATCGAAAACCACAAAGAGCTGATTCAGCCACAGCGAAGAAACCTATTTTGCATTCACGAGACAGCATCACCCATCTATAGCTGTAAAAATAATTAGCTACATGTCCCTGAAACACAACATTAATAAGCTAATCTTTAAATACAACTTTCCAAATATGCTTCAGAGACTACAGAAAATCTCACTTATGTACGCATCATTGCACACCGCCTGCAGTGTCATGCCAAAAGGTACCATGGTAAACAAAATACAAAATTCCAAAATACAAATACTGCTCCCGACTTGTCACAATAGTTGGAAAAATTTATTTTAATGGAAAGTTAAAGATATAAAACATTGTTACATATCTCACCATTAAAAGTAGAGAATTTGTCATATAAGCCTTACTCTGAGAAACTCAGAATTAGTCAGAAAAAAAATTAGAAGCTAATCCATAACTTTTAAACTCTAAGGGAGCTGCAGTGGGATCCATGTGTGTACATGCACCCACTTGCTGAAGGCATACAGCACAATGGCTACTCCAGCACCTGGGCAGATTTAAGGATGGTTTATGGATGATAAGCATCATCCTTTGCTAGCTTGTTTTAGACCCCACTACGACTAAAGGCTTTTAGCACCTGAGGAAGAGACATGTGAGGAACAGAGGTTTCATCTCAGGCACCAGTCTCTCTCCCCTTTAGTCCCTCAGTGTCCAAGTGCTGAGTCACTCTGGAACTGCAAACAGATGGAGACGTGATCTGGGGTTCATTTTAAATTCCAGCACATTTTTGATTTCACATGAGCAACTTAAAACCAGCCATGACCACGTAAGTCACTGTCAAGATTGGTTTCTTATTAGCAGTTGCATGATATAAAATAGAAAGGAGCACATAAGCATTCCCAAAAACTCAGAGTAAATGAATGTAGCTCAAGTGAATTCCAA